CACTTCGAGTTACCCACATGACACCTGACTCAGACATATCATAAATTATTCAAAACACTGTCCAGCAAACTGGAGTAAATTTACGACCTGAATTATGTCTTTAAACTTACACCAAGGTTGTCTCTTTTTCTTTCCTTTCATACAGAATATACTCTTGGAATGTTCTTACCACTTGAGCAAAACCTCACATAATCTTTATAGTAAAAAAAAAATTAATCTATGTTTTCAAGAGTTTTGATTTTTATAAGAAGTCGGATGAGACAATACTGTCAGACACTATCATAAAATTTAGAAACAAACCCTTGACTTGGAAGGCTTCAGCATAAGACAGCCTACAACAGTGAGTAACCAAGAAGAATTATAATATGCAATAAGCGGGTTATTGTAGCACAATATGTGTAGTAATATGTGAAAGAAGTAGAGTGACAAGCTTCACTGGGTCAGTCTACTGAGGAAGACCAGAGTGACTGGTCGAAAGCTCTAGGAGAGAGAATTTTTTTGTGTTGGATCAAAAGTTTTAACTTTAAACATAGAGAATAAGACCTAATAAATCCTATTTACTCAAACAACAGGGGCTAGCACAAGTCTGTCTTTGATATAGTGTTACAAACGAGTGGGGCTAACCAGGCTATACAGGAAAGGGAATACGCCCGACCACACCCCTGCCATCCAAGGTCATTACCGAGGTGAAAAATGGCTCCCTGGAGACGGCGGAACAAAGAAGCAGTGAGGGGAAATGCACATCTACTGTTCCCCCATCAGGTGAGATCCACACACCTCATCCCTCTGGAGGGGTTTATAAATGATGCAGGGGGTCTGGTTTCCCTGGGGGGGGGGGGTGCTGGAGAGAAGATACTATATTATGGCCTTCTTTGCAGGATTTTTGGGGCTGAGAGAGGATTGTCTTTGTCTTTACTGTCTTAACTTTGATGCCCTTTGGCCCCAAAGACTAGACTAATCTTCCAGGGTTTACACAAAAATAATAACACACAGGATACTGTGTTATAGCCTTTGTTGCAGGCTTTTTCGGTGGGTTGGAGGGTTGCAGATAGAGGATGTTGTATTATAGCCTCCTTTGCAGGCTTTCTGGGGGCTTCAGGAGGGACTGGAAGGAGGATGCTGTACATAATAGTCTCCTTTGCAACCTTCTTGGGACTTCTGGGGGGCTGGAGAGAGAGTGAGTGCTGTATTCTGAGATATAGAACATATGTGCATCATCATCACATTAATTCTCAACTGTTTTGTTGGTATATTTCTTACCAGTATGTTTGTCTATAGACAACTATGGAGGTGGCCAAAAAGAAACTGAGACCTGGGAACTTGTATGCCATCAGTACAAAGACACATAAAAAGCCCAACTCATATCGCCTGCTCGGATAAGAGCCTAGCAATATTACAGGAATGCAGGGTGGAATGAGGGAGACACGTATGGGCATTAAAATTTCATGCCCCAAATCTCCATCCATGGAACAATGGCCATGGAGTATGTGCAATTACTGAGATTAACACACACCTCGCAAATGGCATCCGTTTCTATGTTTGTCAAGTTGCTATCCGACTATTAATTCTAGGAGAGTTAACCATAGTAGCAATCAATCATACCAGTATGTTCTTGATCACCTAGTACACAAATTATTACATTTCGAACAAAAAAATGCTGTAAGGCAACAGTGTTAAATTCGAACTTGCTTCCACGCCATTTTCATTATCAGTACTTCCAGGAGTATGTAAATTGGACCATACAGACTGCAAATCTGTATTCAGGACTAACTAAAGTCTTACTCCATGGGGTTCAGTGGTCTGGGCATGGCATGTCTGGTAACAGAGCCCCCTATCAGTGCAGCACAGGAACTGCAGGCAGGGCAAATGTACAGGACACACCAAGTTATTTATGTCATGAGGATATAAAAAATGGTTTGCTAACATTTATTATGGAAATTAAATGTACTACATGTTCTTAGATAGCACAAAAGAATCAAGCAAGTAAATAAATTGTGTAAGATACCATCCACTATCTTTCATCAGGGAATAAGATTTAGTCTGAACACAACAAGTGTAACCTTAACTGATCATTCATTCAGTATTGTGTGTCAAAGCAGATATTGAACCATCCTGACTTGAGTGACAAACGGCCCTATAGAGTTGATCCATGGTGATTACACTGATAAGGATGGTATCTTCCTAACCTTGTAAGAAACAGGACTGTCTGTGTATCTAACACCTGTACATATGGTCTACCTGTCCTTTACCTGACTAAACTGATCATTCATTCCATATCATAAGGCAGAGCAGATATTGCAATCTCCTGAGTGACAGACAGGCCAATAGAGTTGATCCATGGTGAGGACATGTCAGCAGCCATGATATGAAATAGGGCAGTGTATCCAACACCTGTACATGTACATGTACCTGTAAAATTACTTAGGTACAGGTTCTGAACAGGGGTGTACCTGATTCAGTATGATATATCTCTATGGCAGAACAGATATTGCGATGTCCAGAGTGACAGACAGGCCTATAGAGTTGATCCATGGTGAGGACATGTCAGCAGCCATGATATGAAATAGGGCAGTGTACCTAATACCTGTACATGTACATGTACATGTAAAATTACTTAGGTATGGGTCCTGAACAGGGGTGTACCTGATTCAGTATGATATATCTCTATGGCAGAGCAGATATTGCCACGTCCAGAGTGACAGACAGGCCTGTAGAGCTGATCCATGGTGAGGACATGTCAGCAGCCTGATAGCCACATTGATAAGCTCTCCTGTCTTTTGTTCTGTCCCCATGTTACAGGCATCAGGTAACCTGATCTGATGGACGTCACCACCTTTTCAAGGATGAGATCTAACCAACCTGCTGGGAAATAAGACCATTTATGTCATACCTGGGCCGCGATTACGTTCGATATGGGTCTTCTGGACCGGGCCGTACTTAACAGTACTGCCCGTGCTTCTTTACGCATATGGCCGGGGCCATAGAACGATTCGAACGCGCTTCTCCCTAACCGCGACGTGTACCGCTTTCGAAACTTCGAATACAGAATTCGGACGTTGGAATTGATGTTGTTGCATTTTTTGCTTTACCTGAACAAAATAATGCACTAGTGGATGGGCTTTTGTACCCAAAACCTGTACCTGTATAAAATCATTTATGTACATGTACAGGTCCTTACCTGAACACCTGGTAGACCTGTACCTAACATACAACAATAGAAGCAGGCACAATTTGTTTTAGAACTAAAGATGTATACCTGTAGCTGTACCTGGAATTGGTTTAGGTACACAGCTCTGGCCATGGGAAGTGCACCCAAACCAACGCAAACTTTTCTTCTCATTGATTAATTCCCAACATCCATCTTCCATCCTGTAAGGACAGAACAAGCAGACAAACTTCCACCTGTTTACAAGGATACACGCTTCAGTGAAAAACGACGCCTGACACTTCATACATGTAGTTCTCACTAAGCTATCCTACGCTGTGATTTGGACCCCTACACTGTCTTTCAACCAGTGTAGAGGTGTTTTCTGGGGGAGAACCTTCATGTATCTTTAAAAAAATGAATACATAACTTTAGAATGAAGCTATAGCAAAGGCAAAACAAAATCTGACCCCCAACAAGCAAGAAATTGTGTCTCACTCTCAGGGGGTTATGAGTTACAAAATTTTGGGGGGACAACACCAGACCCCCTGCTGTGGTCATGTTTTTGGGGACTCAATGTGCGACTTGTGCCACAGAAAGTTGTCCTTCTGTACCTGAGCCCTACGCTATGAAAAAATCCTGGTGAGAACCCTGCAGTGACTTCTGTGCATGTCTGACCCCTACTACTGACTACTGTACTAGACAGAACATCACTGTCCCAGCAAACAGGTAAACATGGCGTGAAAATCTCCTGTCAACAAGAGGGGAATGTTCTGTGAGGTGAGAACCCACATTCCCCTAAGCCTTCCGCTATGGAAAAGAAAGGCTTCACCCCACATACTGTATTCTTCCATCAAGGAAAGAGAGGAAGAATGTAGACATAAGGAATGCCTGTATACACCACTGGTCAGGGCTCGAAATACCACTTGTATATGCAGGTTAGTGCAGGTAACATTGGAGCTGTGCAGGTATTTCTGATGTCTACCTGACCCTAACCTGCACTGGACCATGACAAAACCAGCCCCAGACACTAGGGTCAAAAACTGCTCTGCAGTCTTAAAGTTAAATTGTCATTGTCTTCAAAGTGGCATAATTAATAAAGATAGCATAGAACTTTAAAATAGAAAATGAGTAGTACTAGAATTAGTAGATATGCTCTTTCAAAACATTTCAATTTTCTTGATCGAAACTGTAAAAAAAAACTGTAGTGAAAGAAACTGTAGTGCAGGTAAAATTTGTCTGATGCAGATATGTTTTGGAACGTTGCTGGTCCAGTGCAGGTTTGCAGAAAAAAAGTATTTTGAGCCCTGCTTGAGGAATGTCTGTTTACACCCCAGTCCTCCACACCTTGTGGGCCATACCTGGCCACGCTGTGCCTGTTCCTGTTCAGTCATGACCCGTTTGTGTTCACCAATAGCAAGCCTGTGGTCCACAGAAATCATGGTATGCTTTTCCTCAATGAACTGAATTTTCTTTTACCTGTAGTAATACTGTAGTAATACACCCTGAACATGCTCTCAAGTTATCAAAACTGTACAACAACAAGAACTCTCTAAAACTTAGGCTACTAAGGTCAGGGGTAATTTTGTTGTTTTCAGTAGCCTTTCCCACGAAATTTCCCTTCTACATAAGCAGCAGTGACTGTGATTTCTTCCACTTTATATTATAAGGAAACATAGAATCATAGAAAAGGCCTTTAAAAAACCAACATCAAAACAACCACCGACCGAGACCTCTAACATCAACAAACAACATGTAAAAAATTTAGGAGCGACACACCTTACTGTAGTGTAATCAGCAATGCACGATAATGTAAGTTGTATGCAACAAATGTCTGTAAAACTTTCCTACTAACCTAGAAACGCTGCAAAAAGCCGGCCTGGGACTGACAGTTCTGCAGGAGATGTTTCCAACCCTCCTGCTGCAGACAAAAGCAGCCAGGGAAGTGTAGCTGCAGGCAAGACTGGGGGATTTCAGCGCAGGACAATGGACGCAAATCCTCCAAAATTAGGCTGGGAGTAGAGCTCTACTGGCCCTGGAAAGGGGGAGGGGGGTTTAGAGACATGGCCTGGTTTCTGTACTGTACTGTTACATACTAGGTGTATATGCACTTTCATGCAACCAACATCGAGCTGTGCGCCTAACTTTTGACTGCAGGTGATCAGTATACCTTGACATATGGTAGGACTACATGTACATAAAGGTACTATTGTTGTGTTACACATGTATTTATTCCAATTTTTAATTTCGCCATAGAAGTTTGGCCTGGATGACATCCAATTTGCTACATGGTCCTTATACTGCCTGGCCTGATTTCAAACTGCACTATTTCCTCTTTTATAATATAAACTTATACAGCATTTGTAAATTTGAAACTGTGTAATTATCATTTGACAATTGAACTGAGACCACCAACACTCCATGTACACGTCTGAATACACTGGAACATCTAAGAGTCACTTTGTACATTTCCTATTGTAACAGGTCTCGCTTTTGTCGTGCATACATAAAAGAGCATGCTCTGTGTGCCCAATAATACGGTACCCTCTACAGACCCATTTCACCAAGCCTTTGTAGATGATCGGTATTCATGAATGTATAAAGGTAGCACTCAGACTTATTATACCATTAGGACTGTTTTCCCATTCTATCAGACAGATAACACCACCTGTGCACAAGTCCCCAATCTGTCCTGTGGGATCACATATAGATAACAACATCACTGTTATCATTACATCGCCATATGGACTAATAAAAACTTAATATGCTTAGGATTCTTATGAAGTACACCAAGGAAAACAATTTGGTAGCTTATCATTCATTCTTTTATATGAGTATCCTTTATGAGTTAAGGAAATGATGGTATAATTGTAAAACACACTGAGGAGAGGCATGATATGTATATACAGTTAAACCTCTATATAAGGACCACCTGGCCAATATGAGTCTATATTATGAGTCTATATTAAAGCTTTAACCCGGTAGATTTAGGAGTAACAGTAATTTTTTTTAAAACTTCTTGTGTCTAGTTATGTATTGCTTGCTTTTACTTATATCAAATGTTCCTGTTGTATTTGCAATATACATGTAGCCCTCAGGCAGGAGTTTGCAATAAACAATTATTAATATTATGACCACTTTCAATGGAGTGTCTAGGGTGTTGTTTTATTCAATAGATAATCTATTAATGAATACAGAATGAGCAAACTTTTCTTGCAGAATTCCACTTGTGAGACAAGTGTTTTGGTAAAGGCTGGCTACCCCTATACAGTATACCTACACAGTACATATTTGATTTTCATTTCACTTAAACTGACAATTTGGATACAAATGCTGTGAGATGGTATGCCAAGGTGGCCTATTGTTGGAAAGATATCAAAGAAAAGTAGATTATTTTTCGTAGATATCGAATAAATATTTTTCAAGATATCAAAGAAATTCAGATTATTTTTCATCATTCATTCGTTTATTCATTCATTCGTTTATTCATTCATTTGTTTTTTCATTCATTCGTTGAGGCAGGACCATGTTATTTTAAAGGGCAGGTGCGCAGACTTAACACTTAAGTCACTTACTTCCAGCTGACTTCCAGTCCACTTTTCATTAAAACTGTACAAAGCACAACAACCTACCCGGCAGTATAACTTACATAATAGCACCTAACATATATAATGGCACCTATCATGGACAATAGACATCCTTTCCATTTTGTTACTCCTCTTTTACCACTCTATATATGGAGGTAATCATACAGAAATATGCAGAATATAAACCTAACAAAAGGTGCAATGACTTTTGTAAGGTCAACTTCAAACTACAGAACAGAAATACAAAATAAATCATTAATTCCAGAACAGTTTTTTTTTCCTTTATGATCCAGAGATGGACTGACGATTTGATTTTGATAAATCGTACCGGAGGCTTTAGCAGAGAAAGCCCCAATAAAGGAACGCGATGACTTTACGCAGTAAAGCGTCCCTCGGAGATTACCCGATAAAGCTCGGACTTGATTGGCGACTTTAACCGTTTGGACACCGAAATCGAGTTTAAATCCAATAGTAGAAAGAAGCCACCATATTGCCGGGGACAAAGGTACACACATAAAAACGGATTATGTAGGAAAAGATCCGGTGCTGCACACAAGATCCAATTTCCTGATTTTAAATCCAGGGATAAATTTCTTCCGTAATAATGATATGCTTGGTGTTGACCCAAACATTGTGCTTACCTTTTTGGGCGGGTCAAGATATTCCAAACCCTTCCATACACAAAAGAGTGAACCTTAGTACTTACTTCTATATAGTTTGTACTCAAATACTGAAGGTGATAAAGCAGAAATTTCCATATTTGATATTTATAACATCAAGTTTAAGTGTTATTTTTCATGTCTTTTTAACCAGCATACTACATGTACATGTAATTCAATTCACAAGACATTCTTTTAATTAAAATTTATTCTAGACGTAAGATTTCTAAAAATCTGTAGAACAAGGCAGCATAAGGAAACAATGATAATTTGAGTTGTTATTTTTAAAGTTCAGTCTTGTATTTGTCGTCCAAATAAATCACATAACTAAACTTTCTATAAAAATATGTCAAAAGTGGTCTGACATGCAAAAAACTAGCTCACATTCACAGCCTTTAAATAACAATCACCTTCACCACTTGCCACATATTTGTCGAACTTGTGTTTTCAATAGCCCAATAACTACGGTGAATTGGAAAGTACACAAAGTGGATATATTCTCCCTTTGAGGCACACAATAGGCAACACACACAGGCCACAGTCATTTCCACCCAGCAAACCGCCCCACATCTGATAACCACGCCGCGATCGTAAGCACAAAGTCACGACGCGACTCCCTGGCAATCTCCCAGATATGACACAAGCCTATCTACTACTCATCGCAGCCACAGCTATTCCACTACATAATGGGGACCAACAGAGACAGACAAGATAGCCGCATGCCTACAAGGGATCAGGGCGTGACGCATGGCGGAACAAGCCTTGACACTATCCGCATTACGAGATATACGCACAATCAACGGTCATTACAGCACAGATGGCAATCTGGGTAATACCCCAGCACAATGGGCTTCAAATTGGTCTGTAAGTTACATGGGCAGAAACAGGTAGAACCAGGCTCACCATTCAGCGTGGTTTACCTGCACCTTTGTAGGGTGTTACGGGCGCTCTTTTGTAGCTAAGGCGCTACAAATGTGTGATAACTCGGTTTGCTTGACTTGTTCACCTCCGGTTTCTGCCAAACTGGTGGCAAGGGTCGCGTCAGTTTGATTTCTGATGTGTACTGAGGAAAATTCCTTTCCTGGCTTATTGTTGTTCCATTGTTTTTTTAACCTCGTGGCTGCCATAAAATGATACAAACTTGGTGCCTGACAGCTACTTCAGCATGTTGAAGTTTATAAAAGCTACTAAAGTCAATGTCAGTCTACATCAAAATATAGGTCAATTTCTTGCACTTCATTCCAAAAGCAAAGCCAAATTGTGCATACACAAAGATCATGTAGAAGTAACTATAATACACGATTATCATTCAATAATACTTTGTAGATCCAAACTGTAACACAGTATAAGCTGGATTTATCTTGAAGTATTATTGTTCAATAGTTTTTGTTATACATTCATTGTACCTTGTACGATTGTAATAAGCAGCAAAGTTCAAACATTCATTGTTACCCGTGCTCTGTAAGATAACCAACTCTCCACAATCATTGTCCCAATGGGCATTCTGTAGCTACAAGGTCTTCCTACAGATCTCCTTCCCTGGATCCATAATCAAAGCATCCAAATCAAATCACGGGGACGGAATCCGCCCTAATGTAATCCCTCCACCAGGGTACTGGCAGTGGAATTGAGAGGCAACATGCTCATTTCATTCCAGCTCTGTCCGATCTCATTACGGTTCCCTCGAGAAACCAGCCAACTCACAGGAAATCAGGTGTATCGCGAAGGATACGACATCCAAACATGTCGTTAAGGGCAAATTAAGAAGTTATAATCTCGCAGAGTCAGTGGTATATTCCCTGGGTGCAGTAATTTCTATGCCGGCACATTTTCTGTAAACTGTGGTGTAGACAATTTGTTCTGACACAGATGGGATGAAAGGCAACATAACACCACAGGCAAACATGCACCACATTCTCACTCTGACGTTTGAAACCAAATAATATGTCAAACAACAATTAGCAAATATTATTTCCGAAGATAATTTCTTTAGGTTGGTAAAGTATTAAACTCAGCCACATTTGGGATTGTGTTCTCGCCACAAAAGCGCCACCTATATCGGCTACATATAGCAGCAAGAAGCAGAACTCCAGTGAGAAGCTCTGACAGACATTGAAACGTCAGCAAGGTAAACAGTTTGGTTGTTTAAAAGAAACCTCTAGTATACAGGAAATATTATTGATATTTGCTAAGTCTCCATATGGATATACATTTTATTACGTGTAATGCTATAAGACATTCAAAATAAAATCATAAACACTGGACTAGTAGATTTGTAATACTGAAGTTGTCTTTTTGTTTAAAAAATCACACTTGTAAGTTGACAACAAACCATATGAACTGTTGTACAGGTGGCAAGCAAATCTCTAAAAATCAGAAGGTAGAAAAATATAAAATATAGCAGATACAAGCATTTAATCAAAACATCACCCCAGCAACTAGAAATGAAATTTGGCATAACATAAAGTCACATTAAGTGGCATGACCTTTGACATGGAGTACTTCCAACTTTTGTCTAGGTCCAAGAAGCTGTCCTTGACTGGAATTTCAAAAGAACAAGGGTCAAAATTCAAACTTCCAAGAGCAATATTAGATGTTCCTTTTTAAAAGCATGTCAGCAGAACATACTGTGCCTGCGCGAAACTTGTGCTTTTCATTGGATTTTTGGTCAACGTTGCATCAGAATTTTGCCCGTTGCAGAGGATATCTTTTCCAACACAACATTTGTAAACTACAGACAGAATACTAACCTTATATGCTCGAATACGACCTTATATGAGACGTTCTGC